CAAAAATCTGCAAATTTGATCTAAATTTGGCCTTTTTTGAGCTCATCTTTTAAATTAAACTTTTAAATTGAGTCCAAATTAACGTTATTTTGGTTTGTTTTAAAAGATTTAGCTCATTTTTGGGTCAAAATTTTGACAAAACAAGCCAAAAAGTCACCAAATTGTAGTAATTTTTTCGTTTGTTTCTGGCGATTTATCTTGGTGACTTCTTTTTATGGATTTAGCTTGTTTTTGTACCACAATTCTGGAAAATTTAGTTAAAACAAGCCATTTTTTTAGATTGAAAAGTATGTTGTTCTTGTCTTTTTTAAGCGACTCAGCTTTTGGGTTTTGTCAAAAATGGATAAAAAAATCTACGAATTTAGTCAACATTAACGTTTTTGTAGCCTGGTTTTAGCAATTTTTTAGCTAAAAATTTACCTACCTATTTTTTTCCAATTTTTACCAAAAATAACATGAAAAAAAACAAACTAGGCCAAAAATTATGCCCTTTTGAGTAATTTAAACAGTTTTTATTCAAAAAATGAACATATTTTGAAAATTTTAAAAAAATAAGTCGTCAAAATTAAAAATGAGCTTGATGTTTTTGAACATCTTAAGTCATTTTTGTGTAAGAATTTTTTATTTCACAAAACTTTGTAAAAAATGACTAAATAATCACTAAATTGCGTTAAAGCGGGCTTTATTTTGACTTTTTTTTAGTGAAAATAAGCCAAAAAAAACCTAATATTTTCAAAATTGAGGTTATTTTAACCTGAACTGAGTAAAGGCAAAGTTTTAAGCTAGAAATAGACTGATTTTAATCAACAAATCAAAAAAAAATGAATTACACCAAATTTTAGCTCTTTTTATAACGATTTAAGATATTTTTGTGAGGATTTTTTGTTATCCAAAATTTTGTAAAAATGGCCAAAAAATCACCAAATTATATCAAAGTTAGTGCTATATGTTTTAACTTTTTTTCAATAAATTTACACAAAATTTGTTTTTGAACCAGAAACTCTTTTATGTTGAAAAGATTAGTCAAGACAAGCCAAATATTACATTATTTTATAAAAATTACATTATTTTTGCATTTTTCAAATGATTTTGCTCGTCTTTGATCGATTTAGCTAACTTTTCAGCAAAAAATTTGCCCCTTTTTGTGAAAAAATATTTTAAAAAATGTTTGAATTAAGCCAATAATGTTGTAATTTGGTAGCTATTTCGAATAATTTATTTAAGAAGTTTACTTATTTTGCATTATTTTATTAAAACATGTCAAAAAATTAACAAATAAAGCTGCTTTTAGCAATTTAAATAATTTTTATTTTGCAAAATTTTGTCAAAATGGTCAAAAAATCACTGAATTACCTCAATAATAGTGTTATTTTGATTTTTTTTTTGTTAAATTTAGGTTGCTTTTGGGACAGAAACTTTCTTATTTCGAGTAATTTAGTCAAAATAAATCAAAACATCACTGATTTTTTTCAAAAATCACGTTATTTCAGCTCTTTCGTTTTTGTACTAGAAACTCCTTTATCTTCCACAATTTCGCCAAGCTGCTTTAACAAACAACTTATTTGTTTAAAATTATTGTTTAATTTATCTATAAACAGATTTGTTTTAAGCAATTTTTATTTAAACTTGTCAATTAAAAGAATTTTTTCAATACTTTTTTAATTTCTTTTTATTTTTTCTGTGTTTAGGTATCGATGTTAAACTTTTGTACTAAAAAATTAATTGTGTTTTTTTTAACATTAAAACACCACTAAAATTTAAGAAAGTGCTTGTGACTTTGATCAAAAATTTAACTAAAATCAAGCGATTTTTTTCAAATTTTGAAAACAGTAATATCTTTTTTTAAACCTACTTTGAGTGTTGCATACGCTGTCACATATCTCACTAAGGCATTATTAATATGAGCATCACTCCACCAAAAAGGCGTCGCAAGTGCCCCCAACCACTGATAAGCCAATTCTTGCGAAATGTGCCAAGACCCCCGACCACTCAACTCACTTTCCCTAAAACAAGAAAAAAAATCACAAAAAAAAAATTCAACACAATTAATTACTTGAAAAGAAGTAAACCCCAGTTATCGGCAGGCCTCGTGGCTTGATAATTGGGGAGTGCCAAAATATCGAGTTTTGGGAGGGGATAAGGACACCCCCAAAATTCTTCAAGAATTTTAACCGCTTTTCGGACCTTATCAGTGACATTGGTCAAAGCTGTGATAAAATCAGGACGGGCCCAAACCCTAATTTCGTAATCTAGAAAGAAAAAAAATTAGGAAAAATTTTAGTAAAAAAATAGTGTAGTACTCCAGTTGTTGTCCTCATCAGTGGTGTTAAAATCCGTGTTGCTAAATTCGGACACGACAATACCGACCGAAAATGTGGACATGGGGGGTGTTTGTTCGAAATGATCCCAAACCCAATCCCCTTTCTCTTTCCTTAAAAAAAAATTGTTAAAAATTAAAAAAAAAAAGTTTGGGCTCACATTTGTTCAGTATTTTTCAAAGGCATGTTCGAGAGAGCTGCCATTGTTTTATGCCTCGCCACTGTGATGACAAAAGGGACTTTATAAGCCGGTTCGTCGAAACATGGGAAGACTTTTCGTGCCAAATTCGGTCTTAAATGTGTCGCCACGAACCATTTTCGGGTTTTCGTTTCAGGATCCACATAACTACTCCTGAAAATTCCTTCACTTGTGTCATTACTGATATTTCCTCTGAAAGTGAGATCGACAATGCATTGCGTCCCTCTATTTGCAGTCTTCTCCAAATGGATGATGTAAAGTGGCTTTTTTGGCACTCTTTCGATTCTCATTACTCGCATTTCAGTTGGTGGTAGAGGAGTCGAGGATGCTTTCTCGCTGAAAATTATTGTTTTATTGTTGTTATCCCACATGGGAGGGAAATTTTTTAATGTATTCTTGTTTAAGGTAAAAAAATCATAGTAATAACTCTTGATAATAGTTGGAATTTTGTGCTTTTTATTTTTCTATTTTTCTGTTCAAAAAAATGGATCAAATTTATTGTTTGTTATTCTATTTTTCAAATTAACTCAAAATTAAGCTCTTTAGTGAAAAACTCCTTGAACAAATCATTTTTTTCTCAAAATTGGCCAAAAAAGCGACTCAGCTTTTGAGTTTTGTCAAAAATGGAATTTAGTCAACATTAACGTTTTTAGCTAATAATTTACCTATTTTTCTCTAATGTTATCAAAAAAACGAATTAGACCACATTTTACGTTATCTATGCCGTTTCGAGTGATTTAGATAGTTTTTATTCCATTAAAATCACTTTTAATGTCAAAGATGTATTAAATTGGCTAAAAATTTACCAAAATTGGTATTTATGACTTCTTTTGATGGATTTAGCTTGATTTAGACCCATAATCCTGGGAGATTTAGTGAAAACAAGCCAAAGAAATCATTGATTTAGATCGAAAAGTTGTTTTTGTATTTTTAAGCGACTCAGTTTTGAGTTTTGTCAAAAATGGATAAAAAAACTTCAAGATTAACGTTGTTTTAGCCTGGTTTTGTTATTTACCTATTTTTTACCTATTTTTCTCCAATTTTATCAAAAAAAACACGGAAAAAAATGAATTAGGCCAAAAATTGCGTTATCTATGCCGTTTCCGAGTGATTATTCCAAAAATGAACATATATTGCAATATTTCATAAAATAAAAACAATTTAGGTCATTTTTGTGTCAGGAAATTATTATTTTTTTTATGACAAAACTTTGGAAAAAATCACCAAAAAATCACTAAATTTCGTCAAAGCTGGCGTTATTTTGACTTTTTTTACGGATTTTGCTTTCTTGCTACAAATCATTGTTTTATTGATATTATCCATTGAAAAATTTAAATAATGTACTCTTGCTTAAGCTAAAAAAATAATAGTAATAACTCTTAATAATATTTGGAAATTCGTATTTATTCTAATTTTTTTTAGTAACCTTGCATTCTTTAAAAAAGATGTCTTAAATTTTCAATTTTTCTATTTTCCTCTTTGAAAAAAAGGATCAAATTCATTGTTTGTTATTCTATTTTGTTTTTCCATTTTCAAATTAATTCAAAATTAAGCTCTTTAGTGAAAAACTCCTTAAACATTTTTTTTGTCAAAATTGGCCAAAAATTCATCAAATTACGTCAAAATTGGTGTTTCTGACTTTTTTTTTATGGATTTAGCTCGTTTTTGACCCACAATCCTGGGAGATTTAGTCAAACCGAGCCAAAAAAAACATTGATTTAGATGGAAAAGTATGTTGTTTTTGTATTTTTAAGCGACTCAGTTTTGTCCAAAAAGGATAAAAAAAATAACGAATTTAGTCAACATCAAAGTTGTTTTAGTCTGGTTTTAGCAATTTTTTAGTTAAAAATTTACCTATTTTTCTTTAATTTTTATTAAAAAAAAATACGAAAAAAAACCGAATTAGGCCAAAAATTACGTTATCTATGCCGTTTCGGGTGATTTAGATAGTTTTTATTCCAAAAATGAACGTATTTTGCAATATTTTATAAAATAAAAACTATTTAAGTCATCTTTGTGTCAGGATTTATTATTTTATTTATGACAAAATTTTGGAAAAAATCACTAAATTTCGTCAAAGCTGACTTTTTTTACGGATTTTGCTTTCTTCCTACAAATCAATGTTTTATTGTTATTATCCATTGAAAAATGAAAATAATGTGCTCTTACTTAAGGTAAAAAAATAATAGTAATAACTCTTAATAATATTTGGAATCTTTTTTTAGTAATGTTGCTTTTTTAAAATCACTTTTTATGTCAAAAATGTCTTAAATTTTCAATTTTTCTATTTTCTCCTTTGAAAAAATGAGTCAACTTCATTGTTTGTTATTATATTTAGTTTTTCAAATTTTCAAAGTAATTCAAAATTAAGCTCTTTAGTGAAAAACTCCTTAAACAAATCTTTTTCTTGTCAAAATTTGACTTCTTTTGATGGATTTAGCTCGTTTTTGACCCACAATCCTGGGAGATTTAGTCAAAACATACCAAAAAATTTATGTTGTTTTTGTCTTTTTAAGCGACTCAGCTTTTGAGTTTTGTGAAAAATGGATTAAAAAATAACGAATTTAGTCAACATTTACGTTGTTTTAGCCTGGTTTTGTCAAATTTTTGGCTAAAAATTTTTCTCCAATTTTTATCAAAAAAAAAAAATAAACACGAAAAAAACCGAATTAGGCCAATAAAAGTTTATATTCCAAAAATGAATGAATTTTGCAATATTTTATAAAAATAAATTAAACAACTTAAAAATGTGGCTGATGTTTTGAACAATTTAAGTCGTTTTTGTGTCAGGATTTGTTTTTTTCACTTTGGAAAAAATCACTAAATTGCTTCAAAGCTGGTGTTATTTTGACTTTTCTTTTACAGATTTTGCTTTCGGGCTACAAATCATTATTTAATGTTAAATATGTCTTAAATTTTCTATTTTTCTTTTTTTCCCTCCGAGAAAATGGATCAAATTCATTTTTTATGTTATTCTATTTTGTTTTTCCATTTTTCCAATTAATTTAAAATCTCAAAAACTTCAAAACTACCAAACATTTGACATAAACCTTTTACTATTCCAAAAAATTTGGAGAACACAAAAATTTCTTAAATTTTTTGCTGTTTTTTCTTGTGTTTGGCTTACGTTTCGTCATCTGGAGCAAATTGTGTGACGATGATTTTAAAAACGTCCAAATCTTCGTGTGCATGTAGTGTAATTTTGTCAGTTGGTTCTTGCCATGTGACGTTGATTCGAACTCTGCCCTCAAAAGTGCCTTCATTTGGTCGAGGTTCCAGTTCTAAGTCGTAGAAGTTTGGGGTTACTTCTCGAGGAAGACGAGTGTCGGAAATTAAACTGTGAGCTGCGATTAAATCTATGCTACGACGAGTTCGGGCTTCTACCTACGATTTTCTTATTTCAAGTCTGGTATTGGAAATTAATTATTTGGCTTACCGATACGAGGAATATTACCAAGAGGGAAGCCCTAAAAAGATCCAACATTTTTCAGACAGTCTGAAAAAAATTAACATTCAATAAAATGAAGAAAAACCTTAAAATTTAATATTTTAGCTAAAAAAATATTTTGTTAAAATATCAAAAACTGTTACAATATGAAATTCTGATGTGACAATTTTCAATTTTTAAACGACTGTGTTTAAATTTTTTGTGAAAATTGATCAAAAATTTACCAAATTACGTCAAAATTGGTGTTTTTGATTTCTTTTGACGGATTTAGCTCGTTTTTGTACCACAATCTCTAGAGATATAGTTAAAATAAGCCAAAGAAATCATTTGTGATTTAAAAAGATGTTGTTTTTTTTTAAACAACTCAGATTTTGAGTTTTGTCAAAAATGGATCAAATTTAGTCAACATTAACGTTATTTTAGCTTGTTTTTAGCAATTTTTTAGCGAAAGGTTTACCTCCAATTTTTTTTAAAAAAGACACAAAAAAAACACAGGCAAAAAAATATGTTATTTTATCAAAAATAAGTCGAACAACTTAAAAATGAGGCTGATGTTTTGAACAATTTAAGTTATTTTTGTGTCAGGATTGTTTATTTTACAAAACTTTGTAAAAAAATTACCAAAAAATACCTAAATTGCGTGAAAGCTGGAGTTATTTTGACTTTTCTTTTATATGTTTTGCTTGTTTTTGAGGTAGGAACAATTTTATTTATAAAAATTTAGTCAAAACAAGCCAAAAACCAATCAATTTTGTCAAGTAATATTCTCAAAATTGATGTTATTTTAACATCTTTGAGCAATTTAGTTAATTTTCTAGCTAGAAATTGATTTATTTTGATCAACAACTCAAACAAAAGATCTGAATTAGGCCAAAAATTTTAGATTTTTGTGAGAATTTTTAATTTTTCAAGATCTTGTAAAAATGGCCAAAATAATACCAAATTATGTCAAATTATGTCAGTTTTGTTTTTTTTTATATGAATTTACGCGAAATTTGTTTTTGAAACAGAATTTCTTTTATGTTGAAAAAATTAGTCAAGACAAGCCAAAAATTACAATATTTTTGCATTTTCAAGTGATTTACTTCGTTTTTGGCTAACTTTTTAGTTAGAAATTTTATCATTCTGAATTTTTTTTTTTTTAATGTTTAAATTAGATCAATAATGTCGTCATTTGTGGCTGATTCGGTTGTTTCCATATAAAANCTGAATTTTTTTTTTTTTAATGTTTCAATTAGATCAATAATGTCGTCATTTGTGGCTGATTCGGTTGTTTCCATATAAAAATTTAGGATATTTTTATTGAAAACTTAAATTTGGGGTATTTTTTTCATTATTTTTGCAAAAAAAAGTGAAATTTATTAAAAAAATAAGAGTGAAACTAAAAGGATAACCCTTAAAATGAGTAGTTAAAAAAAGACTGTCAAACAATTCAGTAGGTAATAATATAATATATATAAAAATTACAATATTTTTGCATTTTTCAAGAGATTTAGCTCGTCTTTGAGCGATTTAGCGATTTATCCCTTTTGTTTCGGGTAATTTACATAGTTTTTGATTAAAAAATTCACTTATTTTGCTTTTTTTATTAAAACAGGTCAAAAAAATTACATACAAAGCTTGTTTTAACATTTAAATCGTTTTTATTTTGCAAGGTTTTGTCAAAAATAGTCAAAAAATCAGTGAATTACCTCAAGAATAGTGTTATTTTGACTTGTTCGCTTTTGGACTAGAAACTTTTTTTATTGAGAAATTTAGTCAAAATATATTACTGAATAATAATTAATGAAAATTTTGGATTTTGAGTAAAATAAAAATGGGAAAAACCTTTTTGAAAACATCCATCACAGAATACGATTTGGGTCCCAAAAAAGTGCCTTTTTGTTCAATTTTTTTTTAAATATTTTTAAAAAATAAAGTCAAACTGAATGAAAAATACTAATTTTAACAAAGTAGAACACTAATGACTAGTAATAAATATAAAAATATTGAAAAAAATTCTTTGAAACTCAAAAAAAATTTAAAAAAATCAATACGGTTTTGAATTATAAGTTCTGATTTGAATTTGAAGAAATTATGAGATACTTATTGACAAAATTTTGATCTGGAAAACAAAAAATGGCCATGTTTGTAGAAATTGCGTTATATTTGAAAAAAAAATTTATTATTCATAATTACTAAAAACAATTATTTAGAAAATCTACAAATAAATTGATTTTATAGTAATAGAACTAAAATATTCATTTTGGGACTCAAAAAGTGCCATTTTTGGAACAAATGAATCAAATGTTACGAATCTTAGTTTTAAAAGCATTGGAAAAAAATCGATTTAGAGCCAAAAAAGTGCCATTTTGGCAAAAATGCTGTTTTTTCATCATCTAGAAAAACAATTTTTACAAAAAATATATGTATTTGAAAAAATTTACTGTGAAACATGTCGATTTTTTAAAAATTATACAACATTCTGTACACAAAAATTTGATTTCGAAAACCAAAAAGGGCCATTTTTATAAAAAATTGAGTCAAAAAATAATTCTGGAAATCTCTAAAATAGTTTAATCTTTTCGAGGCTGACAAATTTTGATAAAATTATTAATTTTTCTTTAAAAGTGTTAAGAAATTTCTAATTAAAAAAATCCGTTATGAGAAATATTTTTCAAAGTCTACAGAAAAGAGTAATTTTTATTTTCTAAGGACGGTCAATATTTCTTATTAAAAATTTGAAAAGAATTTCTAATTTGTACTAAAAAAGATAATCCTAAAAGTACCAAAAAAATGATTTTTGGACCCAAAAAAGCAATTTTGGGGCAAATTTTGCTAAAATTTTCTCATTAAAAATTGAAGAAAAATCTTCAGAAAACATTAATTTTGGGATTAAAAAATGCAATGGATAAAATTGTTATAAAACAATTATCTAATTAAAAAAAATGTATCTAAGATATATTTTGGGATCTAAAAAAGGCTATATTTACCATCATTAAAACTGGAGATTTTTTACAAATGGCTAATTTAATCAAACAATATTTGTATAAATAAATCAACTTTTTGCTACGCCACTGTTATTAATAAACACAATATATTATTTTCTAAATCGGATTTGTTTAACTTTTGCCTTATCTCCTTTATGAGGGGGGTTCTTAAGAACCGAAATAATAAATTACCAGTGAATTATTTAGTTAGTTGTTGCAACGCAAGAAAAATGCGTTCAATTTCAGTTTGTAAACAAAATTTGCTATCAACAATTTTCCTATCATTCAGCTTAGCGATGCACAACGTGAGTATCAAAAAATTAACAAATTTAAATTGTTTCATTATTACTAATTATAGTCGTGTCCTTTTGAACAATCAATTGTGACCAACAGTCCAATAAAAGTTAATTGGACATCAGAAAAAAACGCTATGAATGAAATCATCATTTCACAACCTCCATGTTTGAGAGATCACAAACTAATCACAAGAATTTGTATCAACGGTTTTTGGCACCCCCAAATCCCGCCCTTGTGCCAAAAAACCACAGACACACTCAATTCCACCAAATCGATGTTTAGTTGCCCCAAAAATTGTGCCAAATCCCAAATGAAGTGTTTTTGCAAGTCTGACACGTGCCAAAATCTGGCAACTGTTGCCAACCTCCACGAGAGGAAAATCGTGGAGGGGTTGGTGGGGGAGGAGGTGTGCCAATTGGGCCAAATCGCCCCGGGAATCCCCTCATACATGAACGGGACAATTTGGCAATTTGGACGAGTCAAAACCGGTTGTAAAATTTGTGAAAAAAAGGCCACTAAATTTTTGACTCGACTTGTTTTGACATTTGAGACGAAAAATACAAGTCTTTATCTCCTGGTTTACCACCAAGAAGGGGTAAAAAAGTACAAAGAGGACAAACACGCGATTTTTTGTTTCACAAACTCGGGGAAATACCAAGTTCAAGAGAGGACAAAAATCAGTAAAATTTACGAAAACAACCCTTCTTTACTCGTGTTCAAAATCAAATTGAGGAAACTCGTGGGGGAGTATTGGTGTTTGGGTTTCACCCCAAATCACACAATTTTAAACTCAAATAAAATCATTGCTTGGAGGAAAAAACCCGGGAATGAATACTCCCTCAGATTCACCCTCCACAACCCCCCCAAATTGAACAAAATCATCGACGAAAAACTCAAAATTTTGAATTCAGAAATTCGGCTAATGGAAATTTACAATTCCGACAATCACTCCCTCGACATCCTAGTCCACATTTCCACAAACCAAAAACGCGAAATTGAGCCTGAATTCCGGGATTTGGCAACGAAAATTCACAACACGAGTCTCAACGTGACTTTTTTCCGGAATTGTGAATTCTGTCTTTTTCCTTTGACCAAACGCAACACCGCTGTGGCGGAATTCTGCCTCCTGAGGGACTCCACACCGAAAACGCGACGTTGCAACGGGGATTTCCTCCTGGGGGCGGTGTGGGGGGACCCCCCACGGGGGGAGTGCACCGAACCCGACTCACCCACCACCCGGAAATTGCGGGATTTGGCCCAAACTCCCGAAATTCCGGGTGAAAACCTCTGGGAATTCATCAGAAATGCCAGTCTTGGGGTCTTGGATATCTACTATTTGGACTTGATTTTGGAGAAAATTCACGGGTTTTTGGCTTTCAACATTGTGGATAAATTGATGGGGAGTGACCGGGGGGTTTTACAAAAGTCCCAACACGTTTTAAACTCCACCGATGTCACGTTGGAACTCCTGGAGGAGATTCTCACAAGTGCCAGATTTGACCCACATTCTGTGCAAATTTTCCGCCAAAAGAACCTTCTAGTCCATGTTGCAAACCCGTTTTTGACCAACATTTCCGGGTTTTTGATGGGTAAAAACCACGAAATTCGGGGGTTGCGACGTGGGGAGGATTTCACCCACTTTGGAGACAGTGACTTGGACCTGGGGGTGCACATCCCGGAGCAAATCCTCGACCAAATCCACAACGAAACCAACAATGTTTCCGATGTTTTTGTCATAATTGTGGTCTTTTTCCATGATAATTTATTCCTTGAGGATGATTTCTACCAAAGTGACAGTTTCGTCATTAGTGTGACCATTCCGGGACATGGGGCGTACCTAAAAACCCCAATTTCTATCGCTTTTAGCCCAAAAGTGGCCACTGAGGGGACTTTTTGCGGGTTTTGGGACCTTGGCACTAGTGGGAATTGGAAAAAGGGGGAATGGTCACAACTCGGGGGGGAATTTTCCGGGAATTTGGGGAATTTACAAATCTGTTCTTACTTGCACCTGACACACTTTGCGTTACTTTTAATGAGTGATAAGTCAAATTATGACGAAGACAACGTCATCATCTCTGATGATGACCACAATGATTTAATCCTCGAAATCATTACGATTTTTGGTTGTTCGTTGTCACTTTTTGGCATTTTGGGGGTCTTCCTCACGGCGATTTGTCACACTCAATGGTGCCAAAAAACCGGCACGAAAATCCTCCTCAACTTGTGTTTGGCAATCCTACTCGAGTCAATCTGTATCCAATTATCGGAAATAAACCCATTGAAAACTCAACCAAACTTGTGCAAAATCATCGGAATGACTTTACACTACGTTGTTTTGAGTAAATTCACTTGGATGTTGATTTACGCATTTTTGCAATATTACAGATTTGTCAAAGTGATCGGGGTAATCCCCCAGAATTTGATCCTGAAATCGGTGATTGTGGGTTGGGGGGTTCCCCTAGTTTTGGTGTTCCTCGTCGGTCTCACAACCGATCAAAGTTACGTCTCGAAATCGTACGAATTGTGTTATCCTCGCGGTTTGTTGCTCTATTTCGGTGTTTTGGTCCCGATTTGTGCCATAATCGTGGCGAATATTGCGATTTTTTGCGTCATTATGTACAATATTAGTCACACAGTTGGCGGGAATCGGAAATTGTTCAAGCCAAGATTGTATTTGGCTCTGTTGTTGTTTTCTGTTCTTGGGATTCCCTGGGTTTTTGGACTTGTTGCCGAGGTTTTGAGTCCTTCCATTTTGAAAATTGTGCTTTTTTACGTGTTTTGTGTCACTGCGACGCTTCAGGGATTTGTGCTGTTTCTATTTTATGTTGTTTTGAATAGGGAGACGCGACATTTTTGGTTGAGAAAGTTTGGAATGATTAAAAAATAATAAAGTGATTTTTGGCGATTTTGGTCATTTTTTTAATAATAATAACCTCTTATGTTTGGTAACGTATAAAGCAAATTTCATTTTCTATCATATATAAAAAAGATCAGTGTTCTATGATAAATAGTTATCGAGAAAATTTCTACTAAAGTCAAAAATATAAATTCGACTATAACTTCAAAACTATTAGGAATTTTGCAGGTTTCTCCTTTAGTTTCGCCTTCAAAATTTTAACAACAACAAATTTTAACATGATGAGTAAAAATATTACATTTCAGAACTGATTTTGTAATTTTTTGCCTTGTTGTTGCAAGATTTCAGGAGTTTATAAGTTTCTAGATGAAAAATGCCTCTAATGTCATAAAAAAAAACGTATTTCAGAGTCATTTGTAAAATCTTTTTAATTTAATTAGTTTCTTGATTGAAAAAATGTTTAAAACTTATCGAAATAAGTTAAAATAAGACTTTTTAGACCTCATTTCGCAATTTTCTGCTTTATTTTGGCCAAAAAAGGTCCTCAATAAAACTCTTTAAATTCATCAAAATAATCAAAAATAGTTAATTTCAGAAGTAATTTTAGAATTCCCTTCTTAGTTTTGGTAAAATCTCACGAAGTTTTTTGGAAAAACGCTTGATAACTTGCAAAATGCTCTAAATCTTAGAAAATACATAAACAAAAATAAGACATTTTAGACTTAATTTTATTATTTTTTACCTTGTTTTAACAAAATTTCCCAAATTTTGTGAGTTTCTCGTTAAAAAACGCTACTAAATTTACAACAAACTCATTTTGGAGTGAATTTTGCAATTTTTTGCCGTTTTGACAAAATATATTTTGTTTTTTGGTGAAAAAAAGTCGAATTTTAATAATTACTGAAAATTTTGGATTTTGAATAAAATAAAAATGGGAAAAACTTTTTTGAAAATATCCATCACAGAATACGATTTGGGTCCCAAAAAAGTGTCTTTTTGT